TTTTTTTTTTTTTCATTTAAACCAAATAAGTTATAAAAGATTTACTCCCTCCATTTCAAAATAATTTTTTTTATTTAAAATTTATCCCAAAATAATAGTTGTCTTTTCACATTTTAAGAAATATAAATATTTTCTTCTTCTTTGTTCTTATCATTATCTCTCTTGATTTTAATTATCTGTCATATTAAAAAAAATCTATTTATTTTTATTTTTTAAAGTTAAATTAAGTAAAAGTAAAAATTGTTTCCAAATTCTTATTCTAATGATAAAATTAAAAAATGTTTGCTATTTTAGAACAAAGGAAGTAATAAAATTCTTCTTGCGTTTCTTAAAAAAAAAAAAAAAACTAAGAAAGATAAAGCATTTAACCGATTTTCATTTAAAATTTTTTTAATTAAGTAAAAAAATCAATGTACTATACTTCACTTACCAGAATAATAGATTTCTTTTTATTTTACCTCTAAATTAAGAATTTGAGACAATTCTATTCTTTCTTATCTTTCTCTTAAAAAATGAATAACTATTTTAATAAGAAAATAAATAATTAAAATTGAGAGATAATCATAATTAAGGTTAAAATAAAAAAATATTAGAATCCCTTAAATAAAAAATAACTATTATTTTGAACAAATTTTAATTATTTTGAGATATAAAGAGTAAAAAAATGTCAACTTATATATCTGATAATATTATATGTTTCTTTGGTATGTACAATTCTATTAATTATTTGGCATGCATAATCTCTGGCCCAGTTTAAGAAAACTTGACAAATAAGTGAAAGACAGACTGTGGCATGAAATCTTTGTATTTTTTTAAAGATGCATGAATGTGGCATAAAGACTTTGAATTTTACAAGTCTTCAGAGAAAAAAAAAACATATATCTTCAAAAAATAAAAAAATTTTTACCAACCAAACTGCAAATGCATAAAATGAAAGTGGTACACGAACTACAGGACATTAGTTGGCTTAAACCCTATTCGAAACATCTTTGTAGTCCCTCTATTATTTGATGTTCATGTTTCATGATCTCTGGCCCAGTTTAACGTCTAAACCAAATGTTGACAAATTAGTGAAAGATAGAGACGGTGATATGAAGACTTTTTTTTTTCTTTTAACGATGTATGAGTGTGTGGCAAAGTCGTACATGAACTACAGGACAATAGTTGGATTAAACCTTAGTAGAAATCATATGGTAGTCCCTCACCTAAGAAAAAAGAAAAGTTTTTGTTAAGAAAGATCAACACTACTTTTAATTAAGAAACAATTTTCACTTCCAAATTTTTTAATTAAGTAAAAAGGAAAAAAAAAACAAGTACTATAAAAATATGTAATGATACTAATTAGTACACTTTCTAGTTTAACATACTGTACAACATATTTATTAAAAATTTATTATTTTTTGAAATAAAATTAAATATAAACAAACTTAAAGATGTAACTATGCATAAAAGATGCAAAAACCAACTAAATCGACTTGACTTATATTATATTATAGGTTAAATATTAATTTTGGTCCCTCAACTCTAAAAAAAATGCATTTTTTTAGTTTTTTTGTCAGTTAGTCCATTAAATCTCTTTGTATAGGTGCATTTAAGTTTAGCAACTAAAAAAGTGTATATATATAAGGTTAGGGACTAAAATTGTGCGTATTTGGAGAAACTTAACGGATTAATTGATAGAGGACAAAAAAAGTGCATTTTTTAGAGTAAAGGGACTTAAAAATATAGATGAGGGATGAAAGCTATGCAAAACCCTAAAGTTGAAGGACTAAAATTGACATTTAATCTATATTCTAATAGTTGAACTAGGTAAAGAGGCATCTGTTTTGATCTATTGAAAACAACTATTAGTTGTTAGTTTTAATCAAATGAATTAGATATTTTAAATTATAAATATCAATAATTATCGGTTATTAGATATCAATTATCAACTATCAGTTGTGTTTCAAAAAAACTAATCCAAATAACTTATTATTAGTTAAATAAGAGGGTGTATCAATTATTTTTAAAATGAAAAATTGACCCAAGGGTAGTAATTTTTTTTTGATAGTTACAACATTATTATTTGATGTTCATGTTTTATGATCTCTGGTCCAGTTTAATTAATAAAACCAAATATTGACAAATTAGTGAAAGAGAGAGAGAGTGATATGAAGACTTTTCTTTCTTTCTTTCTTTCTTTCTTTCTTTCTTTCTTTCTTTCTTTCTTTCTTTTTTTTTAAAAATAATTTATCATGTGCTCTGCTTCGGTTAATCTTGCTGCTTGGGACATGAGGTCAATCATACAACCGTAATGTTCTTTTGAAAGACTTATTTGGTACTCTTTGCTCATTGAATTGAAGTACTGATCGAAAACCAAGTTCAACTAGTCTAGCATGACTACAAGCAGTAAGAACACCAATGAAGGTCACAGAGTCAGGTTTCAGACCATCCATGGGAAGCCTCTCAAACAAATCAATGGCTTCATAGCTAAAACCATGTTCAGCATACCCATTAATCATGGCTGTTTATGATATGATATCATTATTCGCTGCCTCATCAAATATTTTTGAAACTTCTTTTATGCTCCCACATTTTGAGTACATATTGGTCAAAATAAATTCACTTCCCCTTTATTTTCCCCCCTTTCTTTTCTTTTCCTTTAAAACAAATAAGTTATAAAATATTTAATTTTTTTCTCAAAATAATAGACATTTTTTATTTAAAATTTATCTTAGAATAATAATTAATTTTTTATATTTTAAGAAATACAAATATTTTTTCCTTCTTTATTCTGTTCATTATATCTTGATTTTAATTATTTAACCTATCATTTTTAAGGGTAAAATAAGTAAAAGTAAAAATTATCTACAAATTCTTATTCTAAAGATAAAATTAAAAAATGTTTGCTATTTTAGACTGGAGGAAGTAATAAAATTCTTCTTGCATTTCTTTAAAGAAAATGTCAGAAAGATAAGGAATTTAACCCATTTTCATTTAAAA